TATTTACTTATAGGCAGGTCAATGTTTATAGCAACATATCTCAATGTATCACTATTGTTGTAAATTTTATACTAAGTCTTCCTCTGTAAAAATTAAATCAACAATTAATAAAGATCACAACTTGAGAAGTGCCTCACAAAAAAAAAAAACAAAACATATTCTCAAATGGAAAAGCTTGCATTACAGCTTTATAGCAATTAATAACTTTATATTATATAACATTGTATAAAAAGAATCCCTTATTAATAGAGAGACATCAAAACTTATAACAAGATCAATTAATCAAGAAAATTACACTAGCAGATTTTTTAGATATAGACTGTGAAACTTAAAACTATTTATTAAGGAAAAACTATACAAAAAAGTAACAAATATCTATACAGATAACCAATGCCTCAATTGTCAACAAGTAGAAACCAATACCTACTGTATAATATGCAAATGAAATAGAGTAGACATTTATAAAAGCTATAACAAATAATTAATGAAGAAATTAAGCAAAACTTTGGATACACAAATAAAAAATTATATAGCAAGAGAAGTCTTTACAATAGATATAATAAAAACTATCAAAAAAATATATACTGGCAGAATATCAAAAAGAAATTATTAATTTTTTACAAAACAAAATATGTATAGAAAGGAGTTTTTTAATTTTTATATAAGTAAATATATTATTATTCCAATATTAAATTTATATAATATGTCAAATTATGTTAATTGTTATTTTTTAAAAAATAATATATTTGATTTTATTCAAACTTTCTTTCTTTCTTAATAAATATATTTTTTTCTTCTGTTGCATTGATTTTCTTAATAATCTTGTTATGATATTTTTTTGTTATTATCTAAGTTAACCTTCCTAAGATAACATTATATTTTAATTGTTTTATAAATTAAGAAATAAATTTTTAATTGAATAGAATAGAGTAAATAGTTTTGTAGAATAATTTTATATCTGATTTGAATTTTACATAAAACGATAATAATATATTTTAATTTGTGGTATCTTTTTCTTTTATGATTTCTTATAAAGAAGCAAGCTATTTTTAAATTATATATGTATAATATAGCTACATCAATTTTAAAGCTTGTGTAATTAACTTTTCTATAATTTTATGCCCATCCATTAGTGTATGATTATGCTGTGCCACTAAAATATGAAATTTTAATTTCCATTATTTTTAATTAGTGCACCAAGGTCTATTTTTTTTTCTTAATCGCACGTGCTTGATTTTGATCCGAGATGACCAAAGTTGTGTTCTCTGATTGGTCATCTCTTTTTTAGAAGTTTGTATTACCCCTTAAATAATTGGATAACTACATCGGGCTCTCGCCTCTCAAACTCTTTTTACTCATTAATAAATATTAATTGTGTTTACGAGCCCTTCTATGTTTACAACTGGCAACAAGACATTATAAACTTCTCCCTAGTCGTAACAACACTGTAAATGACTTGAATATAACCTATTCCTATTAATTATAAAATGATCTTTAAATCTAATTACCCAGATATAAAAATTCCCCAAATTGGAATTTATGAATATGTAGTTAGTAATCCAAACAAAATTCCAGAAGATAAGGTTATTTATGTCGACGGAATTACTGGTGAAAGTGTAACTTTTGGCGAATTCAAACATAAATCGAAAAGGTTTGCTGCAGGATTGCAAGACAAGTTAGAATTTAAACGTGGGGATGTTTTGGCAATATTTTCACCTAATCAGGTACTCTTTTAAAACTATTTTTCGTCAGTTATAACATTTTTTATTTATTGATCATGTAATTATTTTATCAAGGTTGATTATCCTGTTGTACTTTTGGGAACAATTGCAGCTGGTTTATATAATTTCCTCTGATTTATAGTATGGTTAATGTTTTCCTTCTAAATTATATTTTATGTATATTAATAGGAGGCAAAGTAACGACAGTCAGCCCGAATTATAAAGCAACAGATTTATCCTATCAATTAATCGATTCTGGTGCATCTGTTCTAATTGTATATCCAGAAATTCTTGAAATCGCTATTGAAGCTTTAATTGATGTAAAAATTCCTGCCTTCAGGGTATTATTGTTTGGCGATAAAGAAATAAAAGGATATAAACCTTATCGTTCTATTTTAATTTGTGATCGTGAAATTGATCCAATTTATTATACTCCCGAAGAATCCAAATCGACAACTGCTTATTTGATTTACAGTTCTGGAACAACCGGAAAGCAGAAAGGTATCGAACGCACTCATACAAACGTAGTTGTTCATTTGGCTCAAGCAATTATTGCAGATTGTAATCTTGGACCACACAGTATAATTATGTGTGTCACGGTAAGTCATACAAAGGAATTCTTTTTAAGGTGGTTTCAGATTTTATATATAATTATTTGGAACAAATTTTTTTATTATTTCTTTAAAAATACAGCAATTTTACCAAGGCTATGCGTTGTTTAATATTATTCACTGCGCATTAATTCATGTTTGTTATTCTATATTCTATATTGTTTTGTAATCACATTGCCATTTAATTTAAGAGTATACATTAATATTATAGGGTGCAACCGCAATTATTCATTCGAGTTTCAGTATTGAAACGTTTTGTGAATCAATTCAAAAATACAAAATAAATCACATTTATGCCGTGCCACCAACTATTCTTAAACTCGTCAATGATCCATTGGTTCAACAATTTGATTTATCAAGCGTGAATGTGGTTATAAGCGCGGCAGCTTCATTAAGTGATAAATTGGAAAGAAAATTTTATGAAATGTTTAAAATACCAATTTGGCAAACTTATGGTAGGAAGTTTTGTTTTTAGGTTGACCATTGCTTTAATTTTCATTCTATCAATTATTTTCTATTATTTTATAACATAAAGGTCTTACTGAAACGTCTTCAGTACTACGTCATTCTCCCAATACATCGAAGAATTCAGTCCCGGGTATGAGGTCATCAAATGATGTTTTACCGTATAATAAAGTAAATTTATTGATTTACAATTTTAATACGTAGGTTCCATTGGATTTCTTCTTCCAAATATGAAAGCCAAAATTTTATCGGAAGATGGTCGCGGTAACTACATATAAATTTAACTCTAATTTAAGATCCGAATAAAATTTACCATTTGCTTTTAGAATTGGGATATAATGAATCTGGAGAATTATGGGTCCATGGTCCAAATGTTATGAAGGTACATTCAGTAATATAATTATTGCGCATTACTTATATGGTTACTTGTACTAAAAATCATATTTTCAAATAGGGATATCTTAATAATAAAGAAGATACAGATGCTGTATTTGACAAAGATGGATTTTTTAACACGGGAGATATAGTATCTGTTGATGAACAAGGTATATTTTAGTGTTGTAGAACTTGCGCAGGCAAAAAGAGTGTCTATATTATCAAAAATATTTTTTTTCATTTATACAATTTTTTACCTTTTTGTTTTTTTTATAAAGGGAACTATTTTATTGTTGATAGAAAAAAAGAGTTGATTAACTACAAGGTACACTTATAATTATCATTTGGATTTTTTTTTGTGTGTTGTTGATTTGACTAATATCTAAATTAAATTTGCAGGGTTTTCAAGTGTCCCCTTCTGAACTGGAATCAATTCTTCTTACGCATGATGCAGTATCGGATGCAGCTGTAATAGGATATTATTCTGAAGAAGAAGCATCCGAAATTCCTATTGCATATATCACAATTAAAAACGAGTATGAGCAATCTCAAACTTTAGCAGCGAAAATCAAATCTTTTGTCGGTGAAAAGGTTGTGCCGCAAAAAAAACTAAGAGGTGGTATATTTTTTATCGATAAAATTCCAAAAAATACATCTGGTAAAATTTTAAGGAGAGTATTAAAAGAGAAATTAAAAAATGAAATCACTTGTAACAGGATTGATTGATTTAACGGTTTTTTTAACAACTATAATCAGCATTATTTTATAAAAAAATATATGTTAAATGAGCAAAATTTTTTTAGATAAGGTCTGGTTTCCGAGCCTTATTAAACAATTTTTGATTTATATAACCACGAGCTATATATTGATAATATTTCTTGTATAAATCATATTTGATTTTTGTCAATTTGATCTAATTTTCTAAGGACAAAAATTTACTTTCTTAATTATTTTGACGGATTTTCGTGTAAAGTCAGAATCTATTTGACCCGTTTGACCTGAAAATTTGCATAAAATATAATATTGTGATTTTCAATCTGAATTCAAAAATAAAGTAACCCAGGACAAGTAAAGTCAACCTGCTTAAAATCAATCATCGCCTTAAAGATTAGTGTCAAATAAAATTTATTACTTATAAATTTGTCTAAACAAGCACATACTATTCAATGAAGAAAACTTACTATATCCTATGGAGATTCGTGGTAAATTCAATTTTCAAGATTAATGCTATCAATCATTTCAATTTTTTTTTTGCTTTACGATATGTTTCATATACAGTATATAATAAAAGTGGAATATCTATATTACTGAACTTGATTCTATAAAAAATTATGTTGTCCAGAGTATTATTTTACTGTGCATTTAATAAGTGCCTTAAATAAAAAAAGGAAAATCTTATAGATGACTGATATCAGAGATTCAAGGTATCAAATGCTTGATTGTTTTATCTTAAGTAATTGATTAATCAATTAATTAATGTTATTATTTTTTCTTCAGTGCTTTACATATTGATGATAGTTCATAGTATATTACAACAAATATCGACAGCAAGTGTCATCGACCTCGGATACCTCATTAATTATAAAGCGAATTATTTTGAACAACCACTGTATATTTATTATTATTATACATCTTATATCAAAAGTCAACACGTACAGTATTTAATAAATAAAATAATTTATAACAAAAACTATTCATCACTTATTACAAAATCTTTTTTTTTTTTTAATATTTCTTAAGTTTATAAAATTACAGTATGTTTTTTTTTAATCGATGTTCGGTGTGAAAATCAATAATTTGTCTATACAGTTGCTATATGATATATTAAAATCCCAAATACATGAATTGATACCATATTTATCAACAATAAAATTAATAATACGAAAAATAATATATTAACCAATTCGACTTTTTCTCATAAGTTAAAAAATGATGAATAATCGATTTATGGTTTTTTGGATTTTATTATTATTATATATTTTTTGTCTGAAAATATACTACATATAATTTTTTTATTGAAAGGTTTATAAATTCATCCGATATATTTAAATAAATGAATTTAAAGTTAATTAATCGACTATTCTTTATAAAATTTGGAGATTAATCGATACAGTAGTTATTTATACAGTACTGGTTTTAAGATTAAAAAAATATTTGTCAAGACGATACAGTTCTTATAAAAATTTTTTGTTTCGCTTTTATCTTATAACATAATTTTTAAAATATTTACTTCTTTTCAAAAAATAAATTTCTTTTTATGATTTTTATGCTTTTAAAAATGATATTGAAATTGATTTCAATTCAACTATTTAAAGTTTATTCTTACAGTATTTATAATTCAAAATATCTAATGCATGTTTGTACATTTTAAATAAAATATCTAATAATAACGAGTAGCTACAGGAACAATAAATACACAACATATAATTATTTATATACAACAATAGTAAACTATGCACATGAGATTTAAATATTTTATCCAATCTTCTGAAATAAATAATAGAGATTCCCAACTTCTAGCCGGGTTAAATCGTTTATATTATTAGTTTGCCACGTTGATATACCAGTCTTCTTGAGTTAACCTCATAATTAAACCAACCTCTGTATTATCGAATAACGGGATCCTTGTATAGTTCTCAGAGTACATTTTCGTATTTTGCACCCGCATAGTAATCTCGCTAAAAGAAGTTATTGTTTTAATAAAAAAGCAAGAAAACAAGAAGACTAAGAATATGACAGTTACATTATCTGAACAATACAGCATAAAGAATTCGACTACAGATTCTGCAAATTTCTGAATTTTAAAGATTTGTTAGATTTTATTCGAAATAGCAAACACTTTGAAAAAAAAATAAAATCGAATTAATTCTCACCATGAGAAACAATGCACCAACGATATTTACAAGAAGAGTTATAAAATCGAATTGTCCAATAGAACCGTGCTGTTGAAATACCAATCGAATCCTTCAAACAACAAGCTTGTGAATTCATAATATATATATTTAGGCTTGTACACTTGATAAAATACGCTACTCACCCATGCCTATCTATAATAGTATATGATCCATCTGGATTTAGGATATTTTGCATTGATTTATACTCATTTCCATCAATCACTTGAGGTAAGTATTTGTAAGTAATATCGTTTTTCTGTACAAAGTATATGTATTAAAAAAAGTACATTCCGAAAAAAAAAAAAAAAATTCATAAAAGAATATGGATTTTACCCGAAAACGGGCATTCATATATTCTATAACTACTGCTATAACTATGCCAGAAGACCTATATGTTTCTCCGTGGGCTTCATCCGCACCGGGTGCCGTAGAAAGACCTAGAATTAGAAAGGATTTCTTCTAGTGTACTGCATTCAAAAATTAGGAACATAGATATAGATAGATAAATATATTCCCAACCTTCCAAGTTTGCATTCGCAGCAGTGAGAATTTCTTGAACTGTAAAAATGTCACCATCGGCATTAGGGTTGGTTTTCATCTATCGGAAAATATTGTACTTGGAAATTTAATTAATCAAGAAAAAATAAGATATTTGGAAAACGAAACAATTTATTTATTACCCTTGTTTGGTTTGTAAATGATTTAACAATAGTTTTTCCATCAGATGACATGAGTGCTCCATTCATTAACCCATTACGCTGTGCTACTGATGTGGCTTCCCCTCTTATAGAATGCTCAACCATAATCTAATTTTTTTAAAAAACTAAAATTTACATACTGCAAATAACGATATCTGTTCGAAAGTATAATTTGTTAGCCTACCGTATAATCTTCGATGTCCCCTATAAAGGATTTAGGTACAATTTGATCAGCGTTCGAGGAAATAAACGGGGACTTTGGATTGAAAAAACATCGATCTGATGGATCAGATATGTTCAAGAAACTTGAGCACCCCTGAGGTGGTTTATAATTGGTAATTGATACTCTGGTCGTGAAAAGTGCTGCACCGGCTCCATCACTTGGATATTGAACTATGAAAAAAAGCACAATTGATTTATGGAATTCTGGATCATCTCAAAAACCAGTGTAGTCACGTACTTTCATTAGCTCCCCAATACAGACAAGGAAGTGAACCACCAATACAGTAATTAGGATGAGTAAGAGTTGTTGGGGCTTGTAACGTAATTCGGATGGCTCCCGGTATAGGAAGTTCCTGAAAAAAATCCGTTATTATATTATTACTAGTTTTATTTCAAATTAATATAGATAAACGGATTCTCTTAAGGTCAATACCTTTTTAAGGTAGCCTTCGTAAAATATAAGTGTGTAGAATATATAAGCCAATATCAAAACTTGGAAAAATCGATAGAGCGCCCCTAATTTATGGCTGTTTATAAAAGTGACGTCTTTTAGTCAAAGTAATTACCGTAAACTATGAGAAGATTTTATTTAAGAACCACTCGCCTTCTAATTCTTGCCATCTTAACGGTTTTGTAACTTTTTTGGAAAAAAAGATCATTAGAACAATCGACAAATAAGAAGAATTAGCTGTATGTAAAGAAAAATTTTAAACCTAAATACGGCATCAGTAATATTTATCGGCATATTGATAGACTACTGTATGTGTTGATTTATCTATCGTTGTTATTTTAAATGCAAAATTCTGGACTTTAATGAAATTAAATGAAATACGTAGACGTATTTAAATGAAATTTATTGCCTTATCCTAATCTGAGCAACAAACATTGTTATTACTAAATCCGGTATAAGGATAATCACTCAAAACACATATGCACGTAACTTAACATACGACAGGTGATAAACACATAACATAACATACGACGTTAAATCAATGCCAACAAATTTACTTTCCGTTACTAAACCCTCATGAATAACATGCAACATTAAATCAATGCGAATATAACGGAAATTGAAATCGCTCTCAGCGGTCTCACTAAACATAATTGAACATACGACATTAAATGAATACCAATGAATTTTTACTTTCCGGAGTCTCAAAACATAACCGAACATGCGATGCGAATAGATTCTAATGAATGGAAAATTAGGAAATCGGATTCTCTTTCTGGTATCCCACTCACAACACATACACACATAACTGAACATATGACTCGGGATTATTTTGTCAAACGGTGAAAAAATCAGACTCGCTTTCTGTGATACTCAAACACACGCACATAAACAAGGAAAATCTGTGATACTCAAAACATCACTGTACGCTCAACATTGAATCAACGTCAAAAAAAATCCATAACCGCAAAATACAGTGAATCTTTCTAAATGACTCGTTGCAAAGTTACCATATAAAACAATCCTTTCTTAAAATAATGGCTGGAATTGACAAATTGAAAAGGTGTTTCATTTGGAAAATTTTCAAAATAAATATGCTTATCATTTTGTGTGATCACATGTAAAATAAATATACAATAAGATGTGGCAAATTTTCTAAAGTCAACGCTAATGTTAAAGAAAAAAATTTTATATTAGTTATGAACGCAACATGTTTTGTGATGATAAATGTTTTGTAATATTTTTGATTTTAATGATTATATTTGGAAATGTTTAATTATCTAACAACCTATTTTATAAAAGGGAGACTTAATTTAGAGATAGTATCTCAAATGCGATAAACGAGATGATTTTAATAAATTAAATGATATTTCGCGCATAAATCATTTATTCTAATAAAATAATTATAATTTATAAAATCGTTTTTTCGTATTTTTATACTATTTTAATAAATATTTATAAACGATATGAGACGAAAAAGAAACACCGTTAAATTGACATATTGTATAAGAAATTTGTGTTTATGAAAATAAAATTTTGAGATTTTGCAATTACAAGAATTATTACTTTTTTCAGATCTTAATATTGATTTAGAAGTAATCCAAGATGATACTACATACTATTTTTAATCTTGTATAATTTTAAAACAAAAGTTTTGCCAGCGTTCCAAAAGTTATAGAAAATAAAGAAGAGTGCAAATTAAGTGAATTATATAATTTAAAATAATTTTTAACAGATAATGTTTTTGATATTTTTATAATGATGCAAAAATAATATAAATAAAATGCTTAAAAAATTTTTTTAAAGAATTAATTGCTTTATATTACCCTTGCCGAGATATTTCTTTTCTTTTTTATTTAAATTCTATTTTCAAAAACCTTTTTTTAAAAATAATTTTCAAATAGAAAAAATCTTTTTTAAATTATAAAAAAAATGTATAGCATTGTTTTTTAATAAATCTTTTTTAAGTTTTTTTTTTCTGTTTATTTTTTTTTCTTTTCATGTTTTTAAAAACTCTATTAATATAGAGCTATATATATAAGGTTTTTTTTTTTATAAATTATTTTTTAAATAAAAATTATAATTAATTATATTAAAAAAATATTAATATTTAAAACAAAAATAATATGTTATATACGTAATATATATAAATATTGTTCTTAATATAATTTAATGTTATCAATATAATTATATTTATTTATTTATTTAACATTAAAAAAATTATATTATATTTTTATATAGTAATTAATTTTTTTAATAAAAACTAAAATACTCTTAGATATAATATCTATTTTTTTACTTACGTTTTTTCTATTGATTTTTATAATAATATGTTTTTATTTACATTTTATTAATAAAATATTTAATATCAAAAAAGTTGTATAATATTATTATGTTACAATTATCAACCATATAATATTAAAAAACCATTTAAAGATAGTATAAATTAAATAAATATATGGAATATATAATAAGTCAATAAAAAAATTATTTTTGTTATTTATATATATATATATATTTTTATACAGTATACGAGCAACAAATTTTTAAAATTTTTAAAAATTTAAAATTTAAAAGTATCAAAAATTCTTCAAGTTTCAGTTATATTTTATATCAAATAAATTATTATATAACAATATAATTATTTTTTTACTTTTTATGATATTAAAAAGTTTATCAAGTCTGAAATAATTGTGTATGCTATAATAATAAACAATTGTATATGTATAAATAAAAATAAAATAAAATAATAAAATAATTAATATAATATTTATTTTTATTTAAATAATTAATTAATATTATTGCTTTTGTCTCAATAAAATTGTTTTTAAAAAAAATCAATATATTGTAGAAGATTTAAAAAGATTGAAATAAAAAATAACAATATAAATTTAATATTAATATAATTATAAAAAAAATCATCAAGACACTAATTTCTATTTGATTTAAAACTATCGTGTTACTAAATAATATACAAACCAGATTATTTAATATTACAAATACTAAAGTCATGTTTTAAATAAAAATTATAAAAAATTAAGCAATACTGATTCAATTTATAAAAAATAAAAACAAAAAATATAATTTATTAAAAAATATAATTACAATTTAAATATTAATAAAATAATACCTATTTTTAATATTACAATAATATGATTTTAAATTTAACTATCTATAAACCATTTTATATAAGTATTTAATATATAAACTTTATAATTTAATCAATATATATTGATAGAAAGACGAATTCATAACTGATAATAAAATATGTTAATAGTTAAAATTAAGATAAATATCAAATATACAATTGTTTTTATATACTAATATATATATTATAAAAGATACTGTATATACAGTACATATGATATAACAAAATTGTTTATTTTTAAATATTGCTATTTTTGTTAAGAATTAGTTTCACTTTACGTATTGAAAATTTTTAATCCAATCTTTTAATCAAAATATTAACTGTGGATTCATATCTATTTAATTCTCTTTTCATTTTATTTTAAAAAAAATGTATTAACACTAAATTAATCAAATAAAAAAAACAAAAATATGAATAAATAAAATTAATTTAATTTGACATATCAGTTAAGAATACGACACATTAAAAGAAAAATAATATAACTGGCATTGGTAATATCTTAATTTAATCACTACATTATAAGTTTAAAATTAAAAATAACTACGAATTCGAGTTTTTATTATATATACAGATTGATAGATTTTTAATTATATTAGAATTACATTATTAAATAAAAATATTTATTATAAAAATATTTTTAAACAGTAGCTTAAGGATAAAGGTTTAAAGCATAATCAAATATACAAAACCTTTTAAATCTTACGATGATATTAAAACCATTAAAATTCTTTAAATAAATACGAATCAATCCCTCGGGATTGAATAATGAATTATAATTCATGTGATATAAAACTTATGTTAATAATTATAGAGTGATAAATATCCTTAAATTTGATTCGCTTTCAAAAATAATTATCATGTTTTATATATTAAACGAATTCTTAAAGTTAGATTTTTTCAATAAATGAGTAATTATTTTTGAAGGCGACAAAAATGCTAGATATGATTTTCGGACCCAACTTTAAAACAATACATATATAATATAAATTTTAGGATCATGCCAGAAAATTTCCGGTCCGCCTTCAAAAATAATTACCCATATAAATAAGCTTCGGACGCGATATAAGTTAGACCTTCAATATGTTTTGTTTATTAAATATTTTATAATATATGTATTAAATGTTTGGTCTTAGTGTGTAGATATTTAATTAAAAATACTAGAGACGTGTTTTACGCGAAATAAACTTAATGTATTATCTTTATATAATGTAATTTACGCGAAATATACGTGATAATTTTTGTAAATAAAAATATATTTAAATTGGTTAAGTAAATAAGTTAAAAGAATTTTTATTATTTGACTAAAATCTTCAAAATCCGTTTCTGTCATAAATCGAAATATCTCGTCTCTTTCTTAAGGAACCCAAGCTTATTACACTGATTCTTACTCGGACGTGATATTTAAAAGTAATCAGAATGCGTTTTATCTACACATTACTACTATAACACATTTTATTCTTTTTTCACACTTAATAATCTTGATTGTATATTAACTAAGTTTCGCGTCTCTTATCGCTTAAGCATCGAAATCTGGCAACAGAACGCGAACTGTGTAAGTTTAATAATCATTCGTTAATGTAGAATTTCAAAAAAATCTGGTTGGACCGCAGATTATCGGGTCAGATTGCGGGATATACGGTAAGTTCTATCAAAAGCATTTATGAAATTTGACCGTATGCTAACTTTATGCTATCTAAAATTATTTAGAGTGATTCTTCAAGAAATGTTTAATAAATATGATCCATACGTTTTTTATCTAAGAGAATTGATCTATTATTGCGGGTCAGTGTTGGCGACATGATCACGGCGCAATCTTTGACCTCGCGGTACTTTCAGGCAGGGTTTAGATAAGTTTACAAGGGAATGAATTTGGCAAGTTTGTGGGATTTGGGGAATCTATTGGGCAAGGTAAATTATGTAAGTACGATGATATTTTTATCGGTCTGAGTTCTATTCTCTTTCATTTTATTAATATTGACGCACAAATAAAAGAAATAAAGGAAATAACGAAAATAACAAACCCGACCCGAAGTTCGTTCGAAACAGATTTAGCTCTAGCTTTTGAGACGACTTTGATCTGACTTGACTGGTTCTGAATACTTGCTAACTTTTAAGCATGTTTTTTCGGAAATATTTGTTTTTTCTGCTAGAAACACAAACTCCGATTTTCTATTAGCAGCATTAACGAAATTGGATAATCAGTAACGCGATGAGTTTACTATTTAAGGTTTGAAGTATATTTAAAAATTGTAAGATTACAATGATCTTTCTCATTTTATATTGGTTTTTATATTGGCACTAACTTATACACCGCTAACTCTAATCCTGTCCTACAAGCAAATCGATAAGAATTACCGCGTCGAGATCGAGCCTTCTGATAAGCCAGAATCGTTATGGGAAAAAATCAACTCGAAATATTCTGGTACCAGAGTACAAAGGAACACCGTAAAAGATTTACAAACAAAAGGGAAAAAGCACTGGAGGCTACAGAGGAAAAAAGTAGAGATTCGTCTTATATTGCCCTTTTTTTCTTTCGAGCTGTTTTCCTTTGATTTTTTATTAAATTAAATTATTTTCTAGTGCATTAAAAAAAGCATACGGATATTATGTATTGGTGGCTACTGAATATTTTGATGGGCTATCTTACAGACCACGGACAAAAGAGACTCGAGAGACATACGAATTGACCTTAGCATTCGTTCATTAAAACCTCGGTAATCAAGCTCAAGATACAATATGAAATGCTGCAGATGACATTCTGCAAATTTTTTAAAATGATTTACTCAAGGATTTTGACAAGAAAAGAGATATTGAAACGGTCATTAGTACCATTGCACCAGATAGATCTGCGCAGCTAGTAAATTTGGGAAAAAATTATAGATTATCATACTGGGGATGCCATGAATGACGATGAACTTTCAGGCGAGATTAATAATAAACTTGGGAGTTGCCGTAGTATTTGATGAAGAGGAGGATGATGAATTTGGAAAATATGAAGTTGAGTCTGAGGAGAAAGATGAAGAAGAATGTGATGTGGAAGCATCGACAACAGGTGTATTAGGCGTTGGTCAAGTTGAGAATGAAGAAAATAGAGAGTCATTCAGATGAAGAAAACGAAGGGTTCCAAAAAAAATATCTCTGCATGACATTGATGCCTTCTGGCTTCAGTATCTAATATCAAATAACTATTCAGATCCACGCACCGCACAAGAAAAGATGGGGAATACTATGCAAATATTTGAATTAGAATGAAATACTTGTGACTGCGAAAATTAACCAATGAATTTTTTGATAATGACAAATTTGATCTGGTTAATATATTGACAAGAAATAGGGATTGATTTTATAGTGTACGAAGTTTGCCAAAGCTGGGACAGATAATGCTGAAATAAAGTATTGAACGCGAAATTTGCGAGCAAGGATTAGAATGGATTTTTAAAGAACTTGGAGGAGTGAGAATTCGTTGTGGTGAAATTTCCGCCCGGAAAGAGTGGTTGAAGACGTAATGGAAATATATAATAAACCTGTAATAGCACATGGTTTAATTTTTGTTTCCGTTGAAGCTGCTTTGCCTCCAACAACGATGGCAATACCTAAAGCTGTAATTGATCCCAAATTGCTAATGGTTAAACAAAGTGGACATTTAAAGTCTAACAAAAAGTACAAACTGCTAAATGGATCTCATAAGATTTCTAAGATATGAAAATAGTATTGAGTGTATGCGAATATACCCGTTGTTATTTGTTGGGAGGTCATATTAAGAAAGGTAATGATGATCATGTATTACTATATTTATTTAAGAAAACATCATTAACTCAATTCAGATTTTAACAAGTCTGATCGGATTTCTAGATCATATGATTCAGGTTCAATTTTTTGCCATCAATCTTCATGTGGGTATCAAGGAGAGTGACATTTCGCAATTTCATAGCCGAAGTCCAGCAAAATTTTAAGGGGAGGGTGCCTGGATATTCTTTGGTAAAGTAAACACATGTAATAACATTGGTCTCATAGTAATCCTAATAACTTATCGAATATATCATGAGAAACTGATTAATCATATCTGAATATTTGCTGCATGCAACCCTTATTGTTTGCAAAAGAGGAATCTCACTGTGACTGATCTAGAAATTAAAAATTCGAAGAGCAAAGTAGCCTTTTGTATAAAGCAAAACCATTTTCTGATCAAATTATTGATTATGTCATTATGTTTTGAGATATAGTATGCTTAAACAGAAGGACGAAAAGTGGTATATTCAAATAA